TTTATTGGCATTTACTAATCCTACAGTGGGTGCAGTCATTGTCTCAGTATCAAGTCAGTCAAAACTTTTAGTTGTCAGTCCATCACAGTCCATTCGCATGCATACCTCCATACACCTTCATACCAGATGTTGCTGATAATGGAGTCTCACGCGCAACCTATTCGAGCCTCCATCACCAGCAAGATGACGTCATCATTTTAAAGGAAAACAATTCCTTGTTGTTTTTTGGGCCGGATTGACTCGGTGCAATCCTTTTAGACTCAGAACTTCTCAGTGTTCCCTATAAGTGAATTTCTCCCAAGCCAATTACAATCATGGAGAAGCACACTTTGCAACTGTTTACAGTAATAATATTTTATAGCGCTTTAAATTTCAATCTTTCAGGCCTTGTTTAAAGAGCTGATTGTTAAATCATGAACTCACAAAATATCAACATATCACCACCGGTGGATCACACCTCTCAGATGTTTTTTCTCCAGTGCACTGTAACAAAAACGAAAACAGACATAACCAACAAAATACTACTAAAATAACACAAATTAGGGCCCGTTGCAGACATGTCCAAGCATAAAACTATCCCTCTCTCGCTTACGAGAAAGAACACAAGCCAAAGTTCACTGATAAAATCAAGCTAGCGCTAAACAAAACCAAACAATCAACCAGAAATTCACAGGAAAATTTTGCTTCCTGCCGGGACAATATTGTGTGGGAATGAGAACCTCAGGTGTCGTAACACCTTTTGTTCCTCCTTGAATTAAAACTCAATCACAGAAAATGCCGTACTCCAACCTAAACTTACACTATTACTTCATCATTTTCACTCTGTGCCACTGCTCCTCATCAGGGCTGTGTGAAGCACAGCAAAGAATTCAGTCAAGGCCTTGAGCCATAAACAGACATCACGCACAGACATTGTTTTCATAACCAAACCGTTTTAGAGCTTATTCCTAAAATCTACATAAATGCCCTCTGGGTGACATATAACACATTCTAAGTTTTTAATGGTAATCAATGGCTCCTCATAAAAATTATGCATTGGGATGTTTGTGTGCAGCATTTTGCATATCAGCATAAGCAAAGCATTCTTCATTGCATCAGCGTGTGTGTGTGTGTATGTGGATCACTTCTCAGTGAATCAGCATTCCAGTGTGTGTGTGTGTGTGTGTGTGTGTGTGTATGTGTGTGTGTGTGTGTGTATATGTGTGTGTGTGTCATTTCTCACTCACTCAACGAGTGCACGTGTTCATGTGTGTATTTCACTTCATTCTGAATCTGTGTGTTTGGAGACGTGTGTGTGTGTGTGTGTGTTTGTTTCTCTTCATTCTGAGTCAGTGCATGTAGATGTGTGTGTTTGTGTGGGTGTTTGTGTTCATCACTTTCCTGTTCTGGTGTTCTGGGTAAACCACGGCCTGAAGCGTGCCCTGGGGTCCTGCCCCCCTCCTTTTTCAGTTTGTTTGCGACCATTGCTGCTGCTGCTGCTGCTCAAAATTCAGTCCGTCCTGGTTCTGACCCCAATTGGGGCAGTCCTTTCTCCAGTGTCGATGTTCACCGCAGGTGAAACCTGCATCTTCTTCTGTGTTTTTGTCCATTCTGAGGTGCCTTCTGACCTCAGTTACTCCTCCTGTCTCGGTCACGCCCTTTTTCGCCACCCGATCATCCGTGTTGGTCCATCACTGTCCTGCACAGTGTGAATGCAAAGTTATCAAGGTCAGCATTCTTTCGCTCGGCCTTACTTTTCATTCGGGCTTGGCGGGCGTCTCGTCACAGCTCTGTCAGCTGACGCAGTCTGGGAATTTTCCCCCGTGTAGTGAAACGGGCCTTAGGTTTAGTGCTCTCCGTCTCGGCTGCATGAGATCACATTCCTGCAGGTCTGTTGACATTCTCAGGTCGTTGTTGTGGGTCCAGCTGTTGCAGCATTTGGTCAGTGTCACGTATGGGGGAGAGCAGGAGTCCAGTCAGCCTCGGCTTTCAGGGCCGGCAAAGCAGCCTGTAATTAAATATGTATAGAAAAAACAAAAACAAAACAAAACAAAAACAAACAAAAAACAAAAACAAACGAACAGGAAAATGATGTTGTGTTGGCTGTGTTATTCAGAGGGGAGGCAATGGGGCCAGGCCCTGTGTCAGCCTTCTCTCCCCCTTTTTTTTGTTTTTTGTCTCCCGATATAATCAACTCCTAACCCACCAAGTTGACAGGACAACACCGGTATATGTTAAAATTCTTAAGATCATGTTTAAAAGCCCAAAAAAGGAACTTTCTTTCATTCAGTAATCACTTTTATTAATCAATCAACAGAAAACATGTCACAATTTGAATCTTTTAACCACTAAATTTGTTGTGTCTTGCCTGGTTGGTTAGACCAGTGTTCCTTTTTTTTTTTTTGTTAAATTGTTGTCCTGCAACCCAGAGGGTTTCTTTGTCAGTAATGTATAGACTTCATCATTTAAGTATGTTAATTTTTCTTTAACCTTGCTGGAAAATCTTCACGTGTTCATGAGTGTAAGCTGTTTCTTCATTGCGTGTATGTGCATTTGTATAAAAGCAGGTTAATTTTATCTTTTCTCAAACTAGGCGTTACCTTAAAAGGAGCCTTTCTCTCAGATTTCTCCGCTTGTGTGTGTTTTTGTTTCACCTTTTGTTGTGATGCTCCGGACGCCTTCCCAACCTCCACAAGTCCGTTGGCCCCAATTTTATGTGTTAAAACTTCTCTTAATTTCTCCTCTAATTCTGTCCTCGCTGCTGTCTTTTTCACAGCTGCTGATTCGTGCTGGGTGTGGTTCCCATTACCTATAATTTTGCTTCGGCCGCTGTGCTTGTGGGGGCAGTTGGTCCAGGTCCGCAGCTTCCTGTATTAACACACTAAGAGATTTATTTAATTTCATTTTCATCACTGTTAAACAGATAAGCAGGCCACACGCCTACCTTGACAGCGTAAACTTTACGCCAGTCTCCCAACACATTCCTCTCTGTACTCCTCCATAATTCTCCACTGCACACCTCTTACTATCTCTCCTTTTTATTTTATTACACCACAGAGTAATACACCCAATTATGCCCGTCTATCTCTATGTGGCTCCAAATTCCCTCTTTATTTTAATTTCACACTCGTCAGGGGACAGGCACACAACAATTTCAACCACTGAAACGAGGAATTCAACTTTTTTATATTTCTTTACTAATCTAGACTCAACGTTTGTTTGCAAAAATGTGTCTTGTTCTAGTCCGGAATAAATGTGAACCCGTGATTACACGGCCGTTCCAGTGTTATATCCGTAGCTATGCGGGGGCCCTCACCTCCCCAAGTCACCACCTCGGCACCCGGACGCCGCCGGTCCTGGCCAAGCGTCCCTGGACAGGAGGGTCGCCACTCCTAGGGCAAAGGTCCACAGGTACACTAGGCATCAACCTTTGATCCTAAAATGTGTCTTTGCTCTAATGTCCTCCTAATCAAACACATTAACCGTCACTGTCACTGTGTTCACGCTTCACACTCCACACAAAACACACTCAGAGCGCGCCTCAGTCACACTCTCCCTCAGTGCGCGCTTTGACACTCACACACAACACTTTTCCTCAGCGGGAATTTTACACAGAAACCTCTGAGCTCAACTATTAGATCTTCTTAAAGCACACTGCACCATAGACCAAAATACCCTTTTCTCTGCGCTTATGACCGCCACAACGGAGCAAAGTCGCATCATAAAAGTGATGCTTGCATCCCCGAAGTTATACCAGACATCATAAACAAACTTCAAACCTCGACTTCAATGTACTGAACTAATGGCCGCGTCTTCAGAATAAATTCTAATGTATTATTGCTACAGAAGCCAGTATTAGACAAAATTAAATGTGGAAGGTAAAGTGGCTGCACTCTAGTCCAACGTAGTATGTTATTAGTATCTCGGTAGAGGCAGATTACTGCAATCTAGACCAACGTAGTGTGTTATTAGTATCTCGGTAGAAGCAGATTACTGCAATCTAGACCAACGTAGTATGTTATTAGTATCTCGGTAGAAGCAGTTTATTTAACACCCTGGAATTCAGCCTCAACTTATGTTGTTAGTATCTTGCGCCAAAAACCAGACACCGACAAATTTACTGTGAAAATACATGTGACTCAGCGAACAGATTAATTTGGAAAGCCCAATATGCACATTTGGTATTTATAATACAACAGGCTGTGCTTACCTTTCTGTTTTAGGCCGGCCTTCTGTTCACTTTGCCCCACGATCTCACCAAAGGCCAAATCTACACCTCCTCAGCACACCAAAGATCCGGGTCACGGCACCAAGTTGTTGAAAATACGCAGTTCTTTGAATCTTTGGGCTGAAGGAAGGACAATACTCGGTGTATCAATGCTCAATCAACAATCATTTATTTTCATACAATTCAACAGTCAGAGCATTACAACGTCCGGACGGGAGAGATGCTACCAGAGGGTCAGGCACATGTCTCAAAATGGTGACGGGTTGCTCAGCTTTTTATAGTCTCTAGTGGCCCCCAGCTAGTCGTAAAAGCCAAAACATCACATTTTTTTCTCTGTTACAGCGCCTAAGTTATGACCTCGGCAGTTGTTTCTCTGCTTTCTGTAAGGTGGGGGTGTGGAATGTGGTCTATCTATCTCCCCTGTCTTTAGACACAGAGTCTCCTGCTTACAACCTTCTCTTCATGATTCAACAATTAAGCATGTCAAGAAAACAGTGTAACACATTCCCAGCAGATCAAGGATACAGAGTGATGCACATTTATCTAATGAACTAATATGTGAATATGTTCTGTTAACTCAAAAGTATAATGAGAACTACACTACATACAGCTCACACACTCTATATTAAAGGGTATAATGTGATCTACAGCAGTATTCTAATTCAACTACTTTGATTACATATATAAGGTAACATATAATAACAGAATAATCTAATACTGTCTTCCTTGAATCTCGTCGTCTTCTGTCCCATCACGTGACTCTGGCTAATACTCTGTTTCACTTTCCTCTAAGGTTCTTTGACTGCGGTGTGAGAGGTTAAACCAAGATGGCCGCCCGCCGTGTCCCACTAGTCTTGTTAGCCTGCGGCTCGTTTAATCCAATCACCAACCAGCACATGAGGCTGTTCGAGCTGGCCAGAGACCACATGCACAGCACAGGTCAGATACAGACAACGCTACATCCCCGTATCATTTGTGTATCGCTGTATCGTTTGACTTTAAAGAAAACCAGCCTCTGTAAGATCTCCTCCATAAAGCCCACTGATTAATAGACTTTGTAGTTACAACTAATCAAGCAATGAGTAATAGTTATCCAGCCTCTCTGAAGGACTTTCAAAGTTTTTCTTTGGACACTGACTGCTTTTTCACTCACTCAGTCCAGTCCCTGTACCTGCCCAATTTCAGAGGAATGTTTTTTGATTGTTAAACCTCTTCACCCAAGAGCCACCCACTCACGTGCCTTTAGGTACGTTGTTAATAGCCTGTTGCAAAACAGATCATTTGTTTTCATTTTCTTAACTGATTCTACAAAGAATGCCAAATGTAACTGTTAGACAGACCTAAAATACTATGTTTGCAACAAGGTGGTTCCCAAAAGAGCAAGTAGCTGTAAAGTTGGCATATGGTGTGTATGGTGTCCTTAAGAAATATGAGGAAACTGGACAAGTGGAGCCCAGACCCACACATGTCAGGCCTAAAAACTACAGCAGATGAACAGTATCTGAAAATCGTGTCCTTAAGGAATAAGTATAGCAGGACCTGAGAGATGCACCTGACCCTTCAGTTGATCCATCTACTGTTCATGATAAAGCCCCATCAGAAATGGTCTCAGCAGAAGGGTGACTGTCAAAAAGTAAAAATTGATGGAATTATAAACATCTGGATAGCGTCTAATTGGCGACCGCTTTGTTTCTTTTTCCCAAAAATCACCGGCAAATCAGTAAAAGCATACCTGCATAGAGAAACACGTTGGAACACTATCAGTCATGGATTGGCCTCCCCAGAGCCCGGACCTCAACGTTACTGAAGCAGTGTGGGATCATCTTGACAGAAAACAGAGCAAAAGTCAGTCAGAATCCAAAGAATAGCTTATAGTTCTTCGGGAAACCAGGAGAACTATTCCTGAAGACTGCTTAAAGAAATTGCAAAGAAACCTGCCTAAGAGAGTTCAGGCTGTGTTGAAGAATAAAAGTGTTCATACGAAACATTGACTCTGAAGCTCATCAGACTTGTACCAACTGTTTGTGCCTAATATGCTGCATTTCCATGTATAATCTATGTATTTCAATAAATCCCTGAAACAATTTCCTAGCAAAATATAAAGGAATGAGGGGTGGCTCAAGACTTTTGCACAGTACTATATATATGTGATGTATTACAACCCAACTATGCCACTTTTCAGAGCTCTTTAAACTAGCTCATTGTTTATCACTTGTGGCCTTTAAATCTACTGTTTGATTGAGTGTCGCCCTGTCATTTGTCTTGTTCCTTGCCGCCGTGGCAACCAATCCCTGATAAAACTCCCTACGACCTTTCTAGCGCTAAAGAGCAGACATGCAAACTTTAAGACTAGCTGGAGAAGAAAGAGCTGAATACCTATGTCAAGTTGCCATAAACACAACTCCAAACGAATGCTAATGTGCTCTGTGTCTGCCGCAAGCAAAATTAGGCTCTTTTTTTTTTCCAGCAGGCAATGGAGGTCTTTTGCCCCCTAGTGGCCAAAAAAAAAAAATCAATTGCTGCATCTTTTAAGACCCCAGTATGAAGAATCCCATACAATCATACAAACAATGCTAATATATGGCCGTCTCCGTGATTTGGAGGCTCTTGTGTGGAAAACGCTTACTCACCCTAAGCTTTATGTTCTGATCTGCTCTGCCACACAATCCCAGCTTCAGCAGACACAGCGTCCTTATATAAATTCAGGACATTTACATCGTAAAGATGCTCTGAACACAGTGCAGCATTTCAACATGCAGGAACATTAATGCTCTTACAGTTTTCCCTTCGACCCCCTTACCTATAAGGCATCAGCTGACTAGCTTGAGGTTGACATTCAGAAATCACAGTAGACGTTTTTCCTCCTGTGTCTGATTGTTTCCAACTTCGTCAGCTAAATAAACACACCTTTTTCTAAAATTGATGACATAGTATGATTTGAGACACCTTGTCACGATCACCCACCTTTCTCACTCCGTTATAAAGAGATTAATTGTCTTATTTGTCCTCAAATGTGAGATCTGATGAACCATTAATTGTATCAACGCCACTATCTCTGTTATACATGACAGCTGCATTTCTTTTTCGCTGTCGTGACCCAGTTAAACTCTGTTAATCTTCTCTCCCCTCAGGCCAGTACCAAGTGGTGGGTGGCATTGTGTCCCCAGTGAGTGACAGCTATGGAAAGCAAGGCCTAGTACTGGCTAAGCATCGTGTTGCTATGGCAGAGCTGGCGCTTCAGAGCTCCAACTGGGTCACAGTTGATGAATGGGAGAGCCAGCAGCCAGACTGGACGGAGACAGTGGTCACTATGAGGTATAAACCATCTTTACTGCTGGAGATTAGTTTTAAAATAAAATTTAAAAAAAATCTTGCGATATTGTGCAAGAAAGTGAATGGTTGAAACAGTTTTTCTTTCTCTTTCCTGTCACCCTTTATGAACACACCTCACAGACAATTACATGCACAGTCAGTAAGTCCCTGGCAATTCGATGGTTAATCAGAAACATTGAACTGGTTGAAACATTGTGTTGTGTATTTCCAGTCAAATAATATATCTCCTGTCATAATAACTGCATTCTATAGCTAGAGAGTCTCATATCATGTCATATGTATGATTTTTTTTTTTTTAATGTGCAAGAAGATCAGATCATCCTAGTCTTACCAGCAGAGTTCGCAGGGATCCACTGTCCTTTGCTGCCCCTCTGTGAGCCCTTTATCATGCAAGCTTGTGCTGTTTATGTAAGAGTGCCACCAGGTTTCCTGCCTAATTTATGGTTTTAGTCTCTTGGGGGCTGCTAGACTAGACTGGATCCATATCAGGTCTGTTTTTTTTCATGGGGTGAAATTAGGACCACGGGCTGTTAAATTCATTGGCCAACTGGGAACGGTTTAGTGGCAAAAGGCTGCCTGAGCGATGAATATGTTTGAAGAGAGGTGCTGCACTGAGCGAAAGGATAGGAAAGAGGCCCCACTGAGTATTTGCTCGCTCACTAACACACAAGTTAACTGGACAGAATTTTCATATTTATTTGATCCAAGAGAACCATCCATCCATCCATCCATCCATCTGTTCTTTTCTGCTTATCCAATTTAGGATGGGGGAGGGGGGGTGGCGTTAGCCTACCGTAGGTGTGAGCAACTTCTTGACCAGGATTGAGGCTGGTCATCCAAACCAGTTTCATCTTATCTGATGGTGACAGTCCAGATCTTTTCCCAGACTTTGGCAAAGTGCTGTTCCACCTAAATAACTTGTACTTGGGTACAGTTGTTTGAACTGATGCTCTTGAATCTACATTTATGTAGAAATGACTCCTAGAGACCTTCTCAACTTGTGTAAATCTACAACTCTCTTTCATCAATCTTCACTGAATTCATTGGAATTTCCAATTGTTCTGAGTATTGGTTAATCAAATTAGTAAATTAATTAGTTAATCAATAAATCCCATTATGTTTGTAACTAGAAACCAGTTTTAGTCAATTGTGATGACCAACGAGAAGTTAATAGCCCTTGTCAAGTTAATAGACACTGCAAAGCCTTTATTAAATTGTATTTATATATTTGAGCCTGTGTGTATAATTTTGACTTTTTGTAGACTAGAGAAAATTCAGAGTTGTGGACCCAGTTCTTGTGTTTTTTAAGTCATTAAAGAAGTATGGTGTACAATCGTTCCACCCTGGTAAAAGAACAGTTCAGAGGAATTATTAAAAGCTCCAAATTACCATGAAATTCATGCCCACAATGAGTGGATAGTAACTTCTGACCACACCTGACACTTATACGCACACGCCCAGTTGTGTCTCATTCTTGCTGTAAGCCATGTTTGCTGATCAAGCCATGAAGTGGACTGTTGTCATGAGTCTGTGAGCAGGCCACGTCACACATTATTCAACGCACACACACACGCACACACTTTTACATACAGAACAACTTTAAGAAGCTTTGAAAACAGTGAAGGTTTTCATCTCTTTTAAAGGCTTTTCTATAAGTCGTGGCTATTTTTCCTTTTTCTAATCACTTCAGTAAAGCTTTATTGACATGTTTAGACTGAACAGTGGATTACCTCAGCACATGCATGAACAGTAAGTTACTGCACAAAGCAGGAATGATGCACTGCACATGATCAAAACAACAGAAAAACTGAGGACAAAGAGGAAATGGTTGGATTCACAAACACAAATGAAAGAAAACTGCATGTATTACCACATAACTGTTTAAAAAACAAAGTATCAGTATCTTTTCTTTTTTTCCTTTGGTTGTCAGGTATCATTACAGGCGTATTCTGAAGGAGTATGAGCGGAGCGTGGGAATGCACAACAACTCGAGTAAGAGTCTCTTTTTGTTCAGCTTAGAAACTCTTGACTACAGAGTGTTATCAGGATTTTTAGAGGTATTTATATGATGTTTTTATTATCACAAAACATGCACATTTTAAAGACAGCCGCAGAAAATGAAATCTTGTCCCTTTATGGCTCCTCACTCTACAGTGAAAATAGCATGAGAAAAAGCTGTTTTTATGGGCCAGCATGGCTGCCCAAGTCAAGTATGTGGTACGACTCTTGTTTGTGCTGTTGTTGGTCAGTCAACCAGCTGCAGAGAAGAGCAGGTGCACAGTCGAGGTCTTGGAGGACTGCACAGGAGCACATCTCAGATCTCTTCCCCCCTCTTTCCGACTGAAATCTTGTGTGTGGACTAACACATTTGTGGGACCATAAAACCAACATAACGTGTTCCCCGTAGGTTGAGCATGCAACCTCTTCAACCTCTGGTAGACTACTTTCAGTTCCAATACATTTGCATGGGTCACCTGGTGGGAGGCAGCCTGTTCTCCAGACAGTGAGGTCCCATTTGGACTAAGTGTTGTCACTCTCAGACAGACAGTCAAGCATTTGCATATAATTACCACGTAATTTAGTCTACATCAATGAGTACGACTTGTCTGCAACACTCTTCGCAATAGGGGACTCGATTTAATGGTTGTATTGTGGTTATTTTCCTATGTCATTTTGCAGTTAGATTGCCATCGGGCAGCAACTGGGGAGGGGTTCAGATCGATTAAGTCCTTGCATGTGAGAAAGCTACTATTGCTCCTTCATTCAAGACTTTTCTAAATGAATTTGTGTTTAATTGGATTTTTTGTGTATGCGGATTGGTGATTTTTGGCGATTTATCACAGTTAACTGCCAAATTGTCAAAATAGATTGCATCTAATTGTGAACTTGGGCCCATCCAGTTACAAACGGATAGCAGTCTTATTGCTGTTTTATTGCCGTCTTGACGAACCAAAGTTGCTTTGAAAGATGGCAGTAGACTGTGAGTAGTTGCAGACCTGGTCCTCGTCTTCAGGGCAACCAAGATCACAAGTTCATTGCACCTAACTGCAATAAATCTGGCCATGCTGCATTCTCCCACTACTGTTTTCACTAGTGTTGCTGTAGTATTAATGATTCGTAGACTCTTCCACCGTCAGCTCAAAGTGAAACTTGTAGTATTTTTGAAGAGTGAAACATTCATGTCAGCCCTCTGCGTCAGCTGGGCTTTGTGTTCTTCTGTTAAACAGGAAGATGTTGAATTTTTTATTGTCAGTCTGTTAGTATGCTGACTTTGCTTAGAAATATAGATAGATAGATAGATAGATCGATCTTATAAATGAAAGCTAGCCAATTAGAATTCTTAGCCCATTTTCATAGATTAACTTTGATTTATAACGGTGCATTTACAGGGATGCCTTCTGGGGTTTACTGCTTTTGCACACCGCTTTATATAAAGATGACACATTTTGTGAGAAACAAAAAATAAAAATGAACACAGAAACTTGTGATATCTAATAGAAAAAAAGCCTGCTGCTTCAGTCTCCTTTTTATTGCAGTTTATCGGGGTTATGTAAACCTTCTAAGTTTTTAATGTGAAAGCTGAATTCCTAGAATAATTAGTCTTGTTATAATTTTCTTAAGCCTCGAGCGATATGAATATCTAAGTTGTGTAATTTGTGGAACAAGTCCGTTTTAGTCATGTTGTGCATTTTATTTGCCCTGTCCAGGCGCAAAATGTTCACTTTCTTTTTCTTTGATATTCACATCACTGGTGCCTTCAATTTTTACATTTTGCTTCCTATTAGTGTGTGGACTCTTCGAGGAGGCAGTTCAGTAAAGTACTTTTTTTTTTTCTTTTTTTAAGCTTGGTTGTGGACTAGGCAGTTGGCAGGAACCCACTGAACTCTGTCCCTGTATTCAAAAAGAGGAGCACATGAGGATTGTGTCACTCTTTGCTGTTGTGATTGCTCAGAAAGAGGACTGGCATATCCAGCTGCAGGACAACATATTACCAATAGTGCTGGAAGATGATTAAAATTGTGTAGATGGATATAAAAACAATGAATTTGGAGGGGTTGAAATAGACCCTTGCATATTTTAAGCCATCTCTGGAGGGAAAATAAACTAAGTTTGTTATATTTGTGACACCGTGTTTTATCGTTGTTTTTGTTTTATCATTAAAAACTGGTTAGAAAGTGTGTAAATAGTCATCTTCTCTGTTTTATTCTGCCACCCCACTCAGATCTGTCTCCCCAGCTGAAGCTTCTGTGTGGTGCAGATTTCCTAGACACCTTCAAGATCCCCGGCTTGTGGCGGGACGACCACGTCGAGGAGCTGGTCGGGCATTTTGGCCTCGTCTGCGTCAGTCGAGGGGAGCTGCAGCCCGAGCGGGCCGTGCACGAGTCGGACCTGCTGTCCTACCGCAGGCACAACATTTTCCACGTGAGGGAGTGGGTGAAGAACGAGACGAGCGCCACAGAGGTCCGCCGGGCACTGAGACGGGGTCTGAGTGTGAAGTACTTGCTTCCAGACTCTGTGATAGAATATATTCACCGGCACAACCTTTACACAGAAGACAGCGAGATGAGAAATAAGAGCGCGGTGCTGAGGCCGCTCGTTAAGCAGGCACAAGAGCCGGTAAAGAGTCTAGACGACTGATGGAGCCCTCGAAGGGTGAATTCACTCACAGATGAGTGCTTGTCTTCAGGGAATGGAAGCTCTGTTGGCCTAAGTGTGTTTTCCAGGCATCACTTTAACTTTTTTTCTTTTTTTTAGTAAGAAGCATCCAAACACAGACATGGTGTTTTCAGAAGTGATGCAAATACTGAGCCACATCTTCATCCTACATTTTTTCCTAGAGATTTTTCACCATTCAGTGTTTTTACTCATTGGACTTGATGGCAGTTCTATTCATTCAAATAAATATTTTTTGTATTCCCTCATGACTATTTTATTTTTCTATGCTTTCGTCAGCCCAAGTCCCACAAACACACACGCGACAAAAAAAGGCTGTAAAATGACTGCTGGGGTTTTTATTTATTTAAAACATTTAAAAAGACTTTTATATTGAAGTCTTATTTCCCATCTATGTGCCAGATGTTTATATAGTTCACAAACATTTGTTGACATAGAGACAGATACACTCACTTTAACAAAGAAAGTCAAGACAATTCAATTATATGAAAAAAAAAAAATTTTTTAAACGCAAGTTCAGACACAAAAGAAAAGAAATCATGAATAAAGTATGATGTGCATCACATATCACAAGAATACACTTTGATTCACGGCTGTTCAGCTGCTCATTAATGTAAATATCTTATTACACGACAGCTACATGATGCATTTAGGCATGTAGAATAAGACGTGTAAGAACATCTTCATTGATCCCAGAGGGAAATTCGCATGTCTGCGTTGGCTCGTCTGCTATTTGTATGAGAATTGAAAAGCCTGTTGGCTGTGGGTGCGAATGACTTTATCTATTTTACATTGAAGGGAGAGGAATCTTTTTTTCCACAGAGATGTTGTAAAGTGGCCGATCAGAGTTGTTGAGAATGGCTTCTAAGATCTTTAGTTTGCATCTTTCCAACCATCTCAAGTGGCTCCAGTTACACAGACAGCTTTTCTCACCAGTTTTTCCAGTCTCCTTGCATCCTGATGCATCCGTCCTTTCTTGTATGAACAGTTCAGGCTGGTGGAGGTGGTGTAATTGTGCCAGCGATATTTTCTTGGCACACTTTAGGCCCCTCAGTACCACCTGAGCATCATTTAAATGCAACAGCCTACCTGAATATTGCTGCTGCCCATGTCCATCCCTTTATAACCACAGTACACCTATTTTCTACTGGCTGCTTCCAGCAGGATAACCCACCATGTCACAAAGCTCAAATCATTTCAGACTGGTTTCTTGAACGTGAAAATAAGTTCACTGTGCTCAAACAACCTCCACAGTCACCAGATCTCAATCCAATAGAGCACCGTTGAGATGTGGTGGAACTGAAGATTGACATTATTGATGTGCAGCCAGCAAAGCTGTGTGATGCTTTCATGTCAATATGAAACAAAGTCTCTGAGGTGTCCAGCACCTTGTTTAATCTGTGCCATGAAGAATTAAGGCAGCTCTGATGGCAAAAAGGAGGTCCAGAGCTGTACTAGTAAGCTAATAAATACTTAATAAAGTGGCCAGTGAGTGTACATCTTAGTTGCTAGGCTTCCAGGTAAGTAGACTTGAATCTGCATCTTTTCTCTTCTTCTTTGATTCGTATTTCTTATGTGAGTGTCACTGTGGGTGTTTCTACCCAGCAGCTGCCTCTCCTAACAACAGCGATTCCTTCTTGGCTCTATTCATTTTCACCATTGTCATCCACACACTGTGTCTGTGAGGCCCGCGTTTCTTCCACCAAAGGATTTAAAGTAATCCTGACAGTTGCTCGGTTACGGGAGGTGTTTTCTCACTGAGACCAATGGCTGAAAGCGCTGCTATTCCATTGATACTAAATAGTGGCGATTATGATGATGGTGTGTGTCTTTGCCTGTCTTTCAGTCAGCAAAGGATTTAGGCGGTGTGTTGGCTGCAGCGCGCTGCCCAAAAGAGAGATTATCAAATTAATTGAGTTATTTAGGCGAGACAGAAGATGTGACAGACATATTGTGCCACAGATAATTGTTTGAGTTGGATCATTTTAAGCTCAGGTGATTCTGCTTTTGTGCTGTGAATATTATCCTCTTAGCATGCTTCATTCAGCCATTTTCACTTGCTCGCTGAGTGATTTCTTTTATACTCATTTAGTCTGACTGTCGATGGCTCCGATATTTAATTTAAAAAAAAAAGGAAAAAAATGATTCAAACATCATTGAAGCAGGCCTCATTTTATACAAAAGAATCAGCTTTCAGGCCAAATCTGACACACGTGGCTTCATAAATAAACAGGCCTGTGTCAATTAATAGAGAAGGCGTATTGATCCTAATCCCACCTAAACATGTAAGCATTCTCCAACATAAGGCACACAAGTGTTTACATGCATACCGCTGGTTCCCAGCACAGTAAAAGCGTGGTGAGGATTGAGAGAATACGTGGTGTTGGCATTGGGAGGGAAGTGGGAGGTGCCAGCAAGATTTTCCGTTAAAAAAAAGAAAAGAAGTGAAACCCAGCAGGGTAATCGGATTAAAATGAGTTTGGTTCAAATTGGGGCTTTTGAGAGTATTTTCTGCACTCCATCCCCAGCAGATGTCCACAACAGACATCCTCATTCTCTGGAAGTGAAGAAACCAGCAGAGGAACAGCCAACATGGTCCCTAATCTGACCGGATATTGGAAAATGATTTCCAATGATAACTTCGAGGAGTATCTGAAAGCTCTGGGTGAGTTTATTAGTTCAGCAGGGAGTCAAGCCCAGAGAAGGAAGGCACAGATCACAAATGTACAGCTCGAAAAAGCAATGATGACATTATAAACCTGATCTTTACACAATCTGAGGCAATTCTTTGTACGTCCATATATGCATAAAACCTCACTGCTTCTTTGTTTTCAATTCATTTTCTGTCACCTTGCTCACGGGCCAGATGTAAACATTGCCATCAGGAAAATTGCCACCTTGCTGAAGCCTGACAAGGACATCGTTCACGAGGGCGACCACATAATCATCAAGACTCTCAGCACCTTCAAAAACTACAACATGGATTTCTACGTGGGCCAAGAGTTTGAGGAGGATCTGTCTGGAGTGGACGACAGGAAATGCATGGTAAGATTTTTTACTTTTTGTACTTAAATGCATCTGTAGTTAGGAACCTGCTGAGACTTTAGCTAAACATCACAGATGAACCACACTGCTGCCAGGTGTTGGGATCTTGGGCAGTGACACACAGGAGTGCAGATTCTGTGGGCGTGTAAACGATTTCCACCCTTCAGCATAATGAGCACATGGTGTTGCAAGAACTGGTTGTTTTATACAATAGCAGAAAAAACATCTACCCACTCATAAAAGTTTCCTCCAACTTTTTACAAACTCTTATAAATTGTTGTAAAAAGGAACAATGTCAAAAGCTGCATGGAAAGAACTGGTCGAGGATAGAACTCATATTTAATCAGATTATGTCACTGACTGCTGAATAGGATCACAGATTATTTGTGGTCCCCATCGAAAGCCCTTTTTTTGTATGCTTATAGGGTGATTTTAGTTAAGCCTTAAGCTGTTTGGAATGCCGCTAAGAGGGAAATTCACATGTTTGTGTGTAAAGATCTATCTGAATAATTATGGAAAATGGTGAGAACTGGGTCACTCATTCAGCTTATTGTATTCTGCATACTAAAATCAATATGCTCTGTTTTAAGAGTAGTAAGAGATCCTTCCCTGATGCCTCGTGCTTTTTTCACTCTCTCTCTGTCTTGTGATGTTTTGCAGACCACCATCACCTGGGAGGGGGACAGGCTGGTGTGTGTGCAGAAGGGAGAGATCGAAGGGAGAGGCTGGACCCACTGGGTGGAGGGAGATGAGCTTCATCTGGTAAGAAAACATCAGTCCCTGCCATGAATATTAATGCATTCAATTTAGACACTTTAATCCAAATCCAGAATGCCTCTCAGCGCTGTATGTGAAGAGCATTGATTTTTATGTGGGACTCTAGCATGAATTAACTACCAGCTCAAGCTGCAGTAACATTACAGTCTGTATGGAGGATTTCTGACAGTTACACAACTGACTCACAGCCAAATAATTATTTCCACTTAATTAAATAGCTCTGCTCACATATTTGATTCCCAAGTGTTCCCTCCAGATGCAAACTGCATGATTTAAAAAAAAAAAAGTGCATACTGTGAAATTAAAAGCCATCCAAATTCTTCTACTCTTGTAGTTGGCACCTCTGTCAGTCATTAGGAGCAGAGCCTTCGAGTTAGCCAACAAATGCATCATAAATGTTTTTATAAAATCTGTTAAAGCGCATTTGCATCTGAAAATACATTAACGCAATAAGTAGCCCATTAGTGTTTTCATTAGCACAGCATTATCAGATTTTCCTGTGTATGATTACGGCCATCAAAGCTAAACAAAAAATAATCTGCCAAGTTATTTGGTTTAAGTGATGCTAGCAGATGTTTTCAATCAGCTTGCCTGAAATTAGTTACAGTATTAGTGGAGAGATCCCCAGAGCCGGTTTGAGTGTAGAGCAACAGAGACCCCTGGTGGCTGACACATGAACTGCAACTGGAAATGTGTATTAATTCAGTGTAAAGAGGGGCGACTTTTTTCAGGTCATTTGAAGGATTCAGTGTTCTTTTGTGGGTCAATAAGATTTACCCATGTCTTTGGGAAAATAAATAATCAGCGATCAATAAAATAAAACAACATCAGTGATCTCTGTGTTACAAGGTTGAACGGACACAAACCAACAATCTTGTCGTGATTAAAGAGACTGTTAGGTATTTTAGTACCATGGTAGCATTTACTGGATATTGTTTTATAGTGACATTATACAGGAAAACTCTGTCATTCAATAAGGCCCCTTTGTTTTAGTTATTTTTCTCTTTGACCCAAGAATTGATGTGTGAGAATCACAGGCTGGTACAAGGTTGAAATACCACAGAGATCACTCCCTCAGCTAGATTAGTTTCTTAATCTTTTAGACGCCTGTTGAAGGCCAAATGGTTTGTTTCAGATTTCACTAATGAAAGAACTCTTTGTTTTGTGCCTTGAAAATATGTCGCTGAGATAATCACAATTGTAGCTGAACTGATAAACTACACAAAGGATGCTTCTTCACCCATGGGCAGGAAGACGCTGCCTTATCTTGGTCTGCACTGGTTTAAACTGATAATCTGCTGTCTCATGAATTTTACCCTCTATATAAACTGTTATACTTGTGAATAAAGTTGAGTCAATTTGGGAAGACAATCTGAAGCAGTCTCTGTTTTCTTGTTCTCCCAAGCTGCTCCCGAGCTCGTACTAACACGCTGAATGGCATGCTTGAATATTACTTGAGAATATATTTGACTGTGTTACAGACTAAGGGACATTCTCTGCTGATAGGTGAAGGTACATTCTCTGCTGATAGACGTCCACGCCTCGAAGGAAGTCGATCCACGGATTAGGCCTTGGAAACCGTTTCCTTCAGAGACCGCTTTGTTCTTCTCGTTTATATCTTGCAATAGTCCACAGTGCTGCCATATTTCATGTTTACGTGCTTATCTTGGCAGAACTTGATAGGTCTTTTTAAAATGAAATAAACTACAGGGTATTATTTTTCTTTTACTTTTAAAGCTTGAACATCTTTTTTCCTTGTTTTTTTTTTTTTCTTTTAAATTTAAATTTTTTTAGGGCGGCGTGTAGTAGTGCAGTGGTTAGCAGTGATGCCTCATGGTCCTGGGTTTGAATCCACCGGCCTGCAGGGACCTTTCTGTGTGGAGTTTTTTCACATTCTCCCTGTACCTGCATGGGTTCTTACCTGCGTCTTCCCACAGTCCAGAGACATGCATGTTATTTTAACTGGTGATTCTAAATCGGCCACAGGGTTCAATGTGACCTTGAATGCCAGTGTTTGTGATAGCTCTGATGTTTTTAGCCCCTCCCCCCTTTCTAACTACAAGTTGGTAATTTTTTGTATCACTTTTTATGATTAAAGCAAACACCACTTACTTCTGGTTAATGATGACACTAATCCTTGTCCATCTACTGCTTAGAGGTTCTCATTGGTCAGCATTACTTTCTGAGTCTCTCACATGTCTGAATAAACATATCAAACATGTATTTTTCTCTCCAGGAGCTGAGAGCTGCAGGAGTTGTTTCCAAGCAGGTCTTCAAGAAGACTTAAAGCAGCTTTCAGTGAACAGTCTGGTGCCTGCACCAAAAACTGGCTCAGAGAGACACATCAGGAACAAACTCTTCCTCTAACATACAGTCCGACTTTCCTTTTATCCCTCCAGCCTGTCCGTGCGTTCATGTTACTGTAGTGAATTCACCAAACACACGTTTCTGTTCCATCATGCTGTTGCCTTACTTTGCCAAAGGAATTTCTTTGTAGCACAAATGGGCAAGTTGACATATAACACCACAAAATCCAATACTGTGTATTTGTTTCAAGGTGGGTGCTTTGATTAGCAGGTTTAGATGTGCTGGACGCATGCGTAAGTGCCATAGCTGTAGCTGATCTGATGGGCGAGCCAGCTGGGAATGTTGTGGATGCAGTGAAGAGAAATGTATTGACTTAGTTTTGTAAATGATTACAACTGAAGGACGATGGTAAGAGCAGAACTTGGCTGAGATGCTCAGTCTCCAGAATAAAAATGTTACATATTTGTCCCAGTTCCTTTAAGACTGTGGCTGTGAATGTTGAATCAATCAATAAATGAAGCCGTTCTAAACCATCCAGTGTATCAGAAGCTCTTTTGAGATGAAAATACCTCTCTTCCCATGTGAGAGAAATCTCTTTGCTTCCTCTTGCGAATGAACCAAACAGCTCAGGTCACATTTAGCTTTGAATCACTTAATCTGTCACCTCGCTTTGTGCCATGTCATTACCAATTGGGCATAATCTATACGTGCTGTGCAACTCACTTGCTCATTCTTCGCTGCTGCTTCAGATTGTGCTGCTCTTTTGACTCCTTCCTGCTGCTTGTTGTGCATTCACACACAGGCACCTCGCCAGCGTATACCTGCAAGCTCTGTTGACTTATCATTCCTCAGAGGAGCTGTTATTGATTTATGTCCTCTTGCTTTGGGTGGTTTAAAAAAAGTTCTTTTATGAAGGAGTGAGGTGTCGACACAAAACCAGAGAAGCGTGTTTATTCTCAATAAATTTGTTGGTCATCGGCTGAAGGTGGGCTCTTTTTAAGTCTGCGTTTCAGTTATAGGTGCCTCAATGTGATTATACTGTAGCATTAAACCTTCTGGAGGGGATCTCTGGAAAACAAAAAGGTTGGGTTGAACTTTATTAACCTTCAAACCTGTTCAAAGTTCAAATGCTCTGGTTGAGTTTGCCATTGAAACAGACCAAACAGTGTTAGCACTGAAAACAGAATAGCCTCTCCTGGCTACACATGTGCATTGAGAGCGATGGTGATGGTACACTTTAACGTGGATGCCCACAGATGTGCCTGTGGTAACCTCCGTCAGTGACCGCAGAAAGCACGTCCTCCCCCTCAGAAATAACTGCCACTGCCAATCCTCTTTAAGCTATAAACTCACTTATCAGTTGCACTCTGCCCCCGTGCCCCCCACTCATATAAAAGCAACACAGCATTAGGACACCCTGCCTCTTCCCCACTCCCTACACTCTTCAGTCACATGCCAGCTTCACCAGCTGCAGCCATGCCAGCAGACTTTAGTGGAAAATGGATACTGGAATCCAGTGAGAAATTTGAGGATTACTTGAAAGTACTGAGTAAGAAAACTTACATCCTGATATGTTCAATTTTAGACTAAAATGTCTTAGTTATATGATTAAAGAAAGATTAAAAGATTTGAATACTTTTAATCTTTTTCTTAACAGAACAACCGTCTAATTTTGAGCTACTTACTACAGATTCTTGTTGAGTAAAACTGAGTGTGATTATACATCATACATACATATTATGCTGTGAAAAAGTATTTGCCCCCTTCCTGATTTCTTAAATTGTTGCCTAGTTGTCACACTTAGATGTTTCAGATCATCAATGAATAATTAATATTAGACAAAGGTAACATGAGTAAAAATGAAATCCAGTTTTTAAAAAATGATCTTATCTATTAAGGGAAAAACAGTCATCCAAACATGTTAAAAAGTAATTGCCCCTTAAGTCTAATAAATGGTTGTGCCACGCTTGGCAGCAAGTACAGAATTAATGCAATAGCTGGCAAAGACTCTTCACATCCCTGTGGAGGAATTTTAGCCCGCTCTTCTTTGCAGAATTGTTTAAATTCAGCTACCCTGGAGGATTTTCAAGCATGAATGGCCTGTTTGGCACGTTCAGAGGTGGACTTACTGGTATGTTTCAGATCATTACCTACTGCATAACCCAAGTGCTCTTGAGCTTCAGGACACAAACTAATGGTCAGATATTCAGGAGTTTCTGGTAGAGAGCAGAATTCGTGGTTTTATAATTTAAAACATGGTTTTTATCAGCGTCCAAGTCCTGAAGCAGCAAAGCAGCCACCGACCATCACACTACCACCACCATGTTTAACTGTTGGTTTGTTGTACTTTCAATACAATGCTGTGTTAGTTTTATTCCAAATGTAACAAGACTAAAACCTTCCCAAAAAATTTAATTTAACATAGGACCAGCTTTGATCCTTATCCTCTTTCTTCATCATTCAGAAACAGCATTTTGCATTTATTCAGGTTTTCTTTGTCTATGATCTGAAACAAGTGTGAAAAATATGGAAAAAATAAGAAATCAGGAAGAGGGCAAATACTTTTTCACATCACCGCAACATATAAAATCACAGCTAGCTATATTACTAATATGTAACTAAGGAGTTACCACAGTTCATCCGCACTTCATCATCTGTTCCTCTTCAGATACAGCCTGATCAATCTTCTGTAATCTGCTCCTAGATATTGACTTTGCTACAAGGAAAATTGCCATCTCCCTATCTCAGACCAAAGTGGTTTTCCAAGATGGGGACAAGTTTGACTTCAAAACACTGAGCACCTTTAGGAATTATGAGCTGGCCTTCACTGTAGGGGTGGAGTTTGATGAGTACACCAAGGGACTAGACAACAGAAATGTCAAGGTAAGATAACCACTGGAGTCCAGATGTGATAAGTCAGTCCTTGCCCATGTGTGTCCAGGGTACCTGAAGCAAAAGGTTCTTAAAAAAATGAATCCATCTTTCATGGTAATGATAAATGGCCTGTATTTGTATAGCGCTTTTCTAGTCCCTAAGGACCCCAAAGCGCTTTACATAACCTGTCATCCACCCATTCACACACACATTCACACACGCTGGTGATTCATTTCATATATCTGTAATTAGTATTCAGTCCTGTATATTTCAGACTGATTTATAAGCTAATCAGTGTCAAGTTTCATTTAATACTCTGCACTAGCTGATGCTTTAATGTTTTAAAAAACGAGCAAATAGGCCTATGATAAGTCAGTGCTAAAAAACTAGCATAAAAGCAAGGATAAGCTGGTTAGTGTTCATTAGCCTTCGGGTTATAAATCCGAGCATGTGAGCAGCAGTGATATAAGCTTATCTGAACATGAAATTCCTTATCACAATGTTCAGACAAAATTACATTACGCCAGCTAAAAACTGGCTTAACTGTTTAACTGTTGTCTTCAGAGTCTGGTGAAGTGGGATGGGGACAAGCTTGTGTGCACTCAGAAAGGCGAGAAGGCCAACCGTGGCTGGAAGCACTGGACTGAAGGAGACAAACTCTACCTGGTGGGCTAACAGTGCTTCTGATATTTAGATTTTTCTTTTCTTTTTCTTTTTTGAAAGATTTGAGACTGAGCGTGTGCTGAATGATAATAAAGAAATGTGTCCCATTAATGCAGAGCTTCCCAAAGTGTGGGGCCCGCCCCCTAGGTCGGGCACAGAGCCATTGCAGGGGGGGCGTGGTATGAAAAGGGAAAAGAAAACCCAAAAACGCTTGGACACTGCTAGCACGGGGCGCCCACTCAAACGCAAAGCAGGGGATGAAGCATAGTTATATATGTTTCCAAACCAACTTCATTCTAAGCCAAAGACTAGAAAATATGATGAAGCATATCCTCCCTTTGGTTTCACCTGCACAAGTGCCGAGGTAGGTCTCCCTTGCAGAATTGGTTTTTCCTTCGTCGGGAGCAGCGCTGGGCTCTTCAAATCACGGACAAACAGTATCCCACATTCTTGATTTTTAGTTCACAAACACTTGTTGTAATGACTAACTACTCCTGACATTTTGGAGATGTTAGCTCTTTATACAGTAAAGTTACAGCGGGATACAAATAATATCCTGCCACAATTTGTTCCCCCTGTTCAAATCACGGGCAAACAGTATCCCACAGTTGTTTATGTTTTTAAAACCATTTTGCTTGTAAAACAAAGAGGGCCCTAGCAAAAAAAAAGTTTGGGAACCACTGCATTAGTGGGAGGTGTTGCATAATCAGGATATGACTGTTAAGTATAAAATGGCCAGCTATAACATTGCTTAATGTTCTTTTGATCCCTCTGCTGAATAACATTAAGAGATTTTTCTTCCTCCACAGGAGCTGACATGTGAAAGTGTAGTTTGTCGTCAGGTGTTCAAGAAAAAAGAATAATAAAGTCAATGCTTCTAAATGAACGTGACATGTTTTGTTAAATATATGAGCAGAATGAATTGATGAATAAAGATGCTTTGAGAACCATATTGTATCTATCTATCTATCTATCTATCTATCTATCTATCTATCTATCTATCTATCTATCTATCTATCTATCTATCTAACAACAGACAATGATGTGATAGTAATGGAGAAAAAATAACATATTTTTACATTTTTATTATAAAACGGACATAAGACTGAGCTGACAACAAGGTTAGGACAATTTTCATGTTGCTTTCGAAACAAATAATTGACAACAAATTACTCATCTTAAAATATGACATTGGAAAGGCGCTCTGTTTATCCTATAGGCTAACCATGGATGGTGGTGAAGTTATATTTGTATAGCAACTGATATAATAGAATAAAAATAGACATAGGATATAGTCTTTACACACAGCATAGAATGACACCGTGGCAGCTTGACGACTGACTGCAGCAAAGCTCACGGATGTTGTCACGTCAGCACTTGCACGGCTCAACTCACGCGAGATTGCGTTTCAGGAAGTTCCACGTCAGTGTCCACTAGGCTGTTCACTGGAAAAACGCAACATTTGGACCCCGATTGAAACTGTTCGCAACACATTTCTCTGATTTTATTGTGACAACACGGGGAAAAAACATGGTAGGAGGCATTTTAAACATCCCAGAGTGTGTTTTTGTTTGTATACATACCAACTTATTTGTTTTAAAAAGAGCCGTGAATCAATGTAAAATAATAATATCTTGCAGCTAGCTTAGCGGCTAATTAGCTTGAGTTAGCACGAGAGCTTGTAGCTTACGGCCTTTTAGGATTTCCAACCTAAGCTTTTTTTTCCAGTGTTAGCATGTGGGTACATTTGTGTTGAGTTAGTTGCGCAGTTATTACTAACGGATGCACAGTTACAGATTTATCTTGATTAAACGAAATATATTGAGTTGAATGCTATCTGCTAATCGATGCTTTGGTTTTGCTACCAGTTGTTGTTTGAAGCTTCATTGTTTTTAAGATACACTTTAAGTTCAATATAACACCTGTAACAGCGCTTGGAAACACTGATCTCTTTCCGTCTTTTCAGCCTCTGAGGCTGGACATTAAGCGGAGGCTGACAGCCAGGTCAGACCGGGTGAAGAGTGTGGACCTTCACCCAACTGAGCCATGGATGCTGGCTAGTCTGTACAACGGCAGCGTCTGTGTTTGGAACCATGAAACTCAGGTACGAAGCCAGTGTGACAGTCGTGCCAAATTGCTTATATAAAAAAGACTGCTGACTTCACATCCATATAGATGATCACTGATGTGTCGCATCCATATGTTGCAAACTATAAGCCGGCTCTCTTTTCAGACTCTTGTCAAGACTTTCGAAGTTTGCGACCTGCCTGTCAGAGCTTCTAAATTTGTGGCAAGGAAGAACTGGGTCATCACAGGAGCGGTGAGTAATATTTACTTATTTCTGTTGGGATCACAGCTCAGAAAAAAAAAAGCTGACAAATTCAAAGGTGCTGTATGTTAAATGAAATACTCCAAAAAGTTTAAAATGTTATGGATATTATAAACAAGACATGGCAAATGAAAACATGCTCTTGTGACTGTCATGGATGGGGTTAAAAGACTGACCAGTATTCTCGATAACTTAGATAGCATCCTCTTTTCTGAAAAACTGCTTTCAGAGTATCAAGTTCCAAATCACCAACATTTCTGGTCCTGTGGATCAGCTTAATGCCCCATCAAACACAACAGAATAGAGAATGCCACTGGCCACCAGAGAATATTGTGCATCATCCAGAAGATATTAAAAGAGCTCAGTCATTTCAGAAAGTAGATATTCCTCTAGCACTTACTGTAGGGGGTCTTCTGTATTTTTATTGAAGTTCAGTTTTTTGTTATTGTGGTCATTCCCTGTGTCTGCCCAGATCTCATGTATAGAAATACGAATCATCAGTGTTCCAATCCTCCCCAACTAGCTCCATAGTTTTTGTCACATTAAGATACAGATTGTTCTGCTCACACTATGTAACAAAGTTGCCGCCACAGCATAGTTCCTCATCACCCTACCTGATCCCACACATGCTGTGGTCTGCCACTCAAATAGTCAACTACCAGGTCACTAGGGAGACATCCACCTGCATCTAGTAAAAACAACAGAAGTGCCAAATAGTAACTTTTAAGTAATACTTTTAAAAACTAATGACATGATTTTTTTAAGGATATTGTTATCTTTCAGATGTTATGTGCACTAAGTTTTTGAGGGAGTCACATGATCATATCTTGTTTTCCAATGTTGTTAAAATCTTAAAATGATGTGTTTTCAAGTAGTAACTCAGCTTTTTTATTATCCCTGTGTAGGATGACATGCAGATCCGTGTGTTCAACTACAACACCTTGGAGCGAGTCCACATGTTTGAGGCACACTCCGACTACATTCGTTGCATTGCTGTCCATCCAACCCAGCCATACATCCTCACCAGCAGCGGTACGCTAGTAAACTCATGATTTCTTTCTTCATTTAGTTTTTTGGAAATCTGTGGCATTCTGCATACACATGCTCCACAGATCATACTATGAAGACTTGTCTTTATGCATGACTGTGTTTTTGTGTCATTGCAGATGACATGTTGATCAAGCTTTGGGACTGGGAGAAGAAGTGGTCATGCAGCCAGGTGTTTGAGGGTCACACTCATTATGTTATGCAGATTGTCATCAACCCCAAGGACAACAATCAGTTTGCCAGTGCTTCCTTGGACAGAACAATTAAGGTAGGAGCCTCTTGCTTTGTATTTTCTCACTTCTGCTTCTGCTAAAGCTGAGTCCTGTTTCCCGTGGTAAGACTTGAGAAGGTTCATGATCTTTTAAGCATTTATGCAGACAAGGGTATCCGGTTGGAATTTGAGCTTATACTCTTAAAAAAAAATCAACTTGTCAGCATTTAAGGTAAAATGTTTATTATTTTGTGATGGTGCACAGAAATTATGTGGTAAAATAGCTTTTTCTTTTTAAAATGTCATCAGGCCAGTGTCTGCTTTTCAGATTTTATACTATAGTGAAATCCCACAGCAATATTTACTTCACTTCAAGGTTTCTGGAAATTAGTCCTAGGAGCTAAATGTTTTGGAGAGTTCTGGAGGAATAGTATATCTGCACCGTGGATTGTGAACTGTGGGTCATACACTATTGTAGGTTCCTTAATGACTATAAATTACACATATGTAGTTAAAAGTTCATGAAGTATTTGTAGTCATGTTCTTGGGGTTCTTACAGGTGTGGCAGCTTGGCTCTTCATCTCCCAATTTCACTTTGGAAGGTCATGAGAAAGGAGTAAATTGTATTGATTACTACAGTGGAGGAGACAAGCCCTACCTGATATCTGGGGCTGATGATCGCCAAGTCAAGATCTGGGACTACCAGGTAGGAGAATTTCACTTGATTTTCCTAATGTTGTGATTATTTACTTGTGCTACTGCGGTAAGAGTTGGTTTAGCATTGTGTGCATGTGAGTGTTTCACCCATTTGTCGCTGTGTGTTGTAGAACAAAACCTGCGTTCAAACTCTGGAGGGCCACGCCCAAAATGTCTCTTGCGTCAGTTTCCACCCAGAGCTGCCCATCATCATTACTGGATCAGAGGATGGTGAGCAGGAATCCCACTCATCCTCACCTGTGCACCCACAAAATGCATCTTTTGCCATCTCATTAATTATTGCTTTTCACACTGTGTTCTCTCTCCCTCTACAGGGACCGTGCGTATCTGGCACTCGAGCACTTACCGCCTTGAGAGCACACTGAACTATGGCATGGAGCGAGTGTGGTGTGTGTCGGGTCTCAGGGGCTCCAACAATGTGGCGCTGGGCTACGATGAAGGCAGCATCATTATCAAAGTGAGGGAAAGGAAGAAGACAAAGACTCACTATGAATTTGAAATTTATTAATTTATAGCTGGATTTTATCAAGGTTATCATGTTTTGTAAATGAATTATGTGTTCAAAACTTAAATCTATTTTCATCCTCTTCCAATCTATCTTCTTTTTCCGTCATCCACTCCTGGATAGGTGGGTCGGGAGGAGCCAGCCATGTCTATGGACACCAGTGGCAAAATCATTTGGGCCAAACACAGTGAAATACAGCAGGCCAACCTGAAGGCCATGGGTGATGCCGAAATCAAGGATGGAGAGAGGCTACCTTTGGCTGTCAAAGACATGGGCAGCTGTGAGATTTACCCTCAAACCATCCAGCACAACCCTAATGGAAGGTAGACATGCACTTGGTCCAGCCCTTTTCTTTTTTTTATAAATCCACAGAAATGAGCATCACAGATGTTTGTTTCTGGTCATTTTATAATAACATTTCTATCAGAGGAGCTTCATTTGCAGTTTTTCCATTTACCAGGTTTGTTGTGGTGTGTGGAGATGGAGAGTACATCATCTACACCGCTATGGCACTGAGAAACAAGAGCTTTGGTTCAGCACAGGAGTTTGTGTGGGCACACGATTCTTCTGAGTAAGTGAACATTTTAAAACGTAACTTGAGTGTAACTTTGCCCTAATCCTTTGCTACTCTCTTATTGAATAACATCTGTATTTCTTTGTTAAAGATATGCCATCAGAGAAAGCAGCAGTGTCGTCAAAATCTTTAAAAACTTCAAAGAAAAGAAATCGTTTAAGCCCGACTTTGGAGCTGAAGGTAATGAAATCTTAGCTTCTGATGGATTTGTGGTACTGGAAGTGGAAGTATGTTGGCTGTCTTTCTCACCAGACGTTTTCCCTGTATTTCTGCTCTACAGGTATCTATGGAGGTTTCTTGCTTGGGGTGAGGTCGGTGAACGGCCTGGCATTTTACGACTGGGAGAACACAGAGTTAATCCGCCGCATTGAGATCCAGCCCAAGCATGTAAGACTGGCTTTCTTCTACTGAGTTAGATATTTGTTCTCAGTCCTGGTCCCTGTTTATCAGTCTGGAAACTGTGCATTTTTAATTGAGGTCACCACAAATTACTTTTGTGCTTCTCTAACCTTATTTTTAGCACTGGCCTATATAAATAAGTTAGTGAGTGATTGTCAGAA